AGAAATTATTTTCAATACATACCAAGCACGAAGAATGTTCACATGCATGAATCCGAATCTGTTTGGCGAATTCAATGTATACTACAGGAATTTCCTTTGAACAGTTTCACGAGAGGTTTATCCACATTCCGACACAAGAGCAACAGATCTAAACAGTGCTGGTAGTATTTCTGGCCTCGATCTTTTTTCCATTTGCTCAGTTAGTGTTGTTTTAGAAATCTGTAACAGTGTTCGAAGCGATTCCAGAGAGTCTAACGGAACACTGAGAGGACCTCACTAGGGTACCCTAGTCTATTTATACTTTTGTCACTGGTTTCTGGACTGGTTTCTGGCTTTTTAGCCAATCAAAATTGATCTACTGTTGTTATGATGATACACAGAAACTCAAAGCTCGATCTTGATTGGCTGAAAATAGCTTTCGGGTTTCCTGTGTGAACAAGAATTTATCTGGAAACCAGTCGGGATTCCTATGTGAATCAGTGCTACGTCATTTTGCACTAGTGCACTCTCAAGCGATAGTCCGCTGTCTAAGAGCCATTGGGGGACTCTGGCCTCGTGATCGACAGTCTTGTGTCAAACATTTCGATGGGTCCCCTCCCACAAGAACAAAGAAGTTTATATTCCAAGTAGTAAGTGGGTTTCCTGTGGTACAACTTTCAAAATGGCGGCCAAAGCGATCGTATTGCCATCTACCGGTAAAATACTCCAGTGAATACTCCATATTCTTTTCGTTTATATGATTTTATTAGTATCGCTTTCAACTACATCTTGTTTTTGAAAAATCTCACTAGTTTCCGGAAACTAGTTGAGCTAGTCTAAATCCGCCCCTGGCGTATATTTCAAATGTAACAATAGATTTCTTTTTGTCTATATTTGTGACGTCATCACTATAAGTCTATGATTGTGCCCCCCCCCCCCCCAAGTCAATTTTGGCCCCGCCGCGCCTGATGTTGATATTGCTAATTTTATACATCGTTAGTTTCCATGGCCTTGCTGTTGTACTGACCGAATATGAACAGAAGAAGAAAGAGAAGCTATGCTTTAACTTTAATGATTTTCTGTGATTTACTTTTAGTCTTCTTGGAAGTTTCCGATATCTTTTCTGGATACTCTTTCAAGATGTSGACACCAGCGTGTTTAAGACGGACCGCCGATACGATAAGTTTACTATTATACARAGCACAGGCGAAGTCATGATGGCTCTATACTGTGTGGTCGCGGTTCTTGTTGCTCTCAACCTCCTCATTGCTATGCTCACCAATACGTTCAACAAAGTTGGGGTAGGTTGACTGACTCGGCTAAGTTATTCAATTGCGTCGTACTTTAAAGTGGAATTTATTTCGGCAGGTTGGGTAAAGCGTCGCATTTGCTTCAATCCTGAATATTTTCTTAGGAAACTGCAACACGTAACTGCAAGTCGATTACTTATCATTTTAACAATTCGACAAAAGTCATGCCCCCCTTCCACCCTACGTTGTCCCGTTGTTGTTTGCTTGCCACGTTGTCGAACTTTATTGATTAGAACGTTGTACTTTAAAATAATGTTAATTCAAAGTTGAAGCATTACGGCTCATGTTTGTTAAGACGTTAAATCAGGTCTTGCTCGCATTCTAATAAWCACCGGGCGTCTCAAGTTAGATCGAAATGTCAATACCTGGAATCAACAYATTTATGATGATTTCATTGGTAGTAATGCTTTTCCCTGTACGTCTTCCTTATTTCGAATTGATAGCTTAATACTATGCGTCATTTCAGGGCGATCAATACACAAGATTTAAAGTGAACAGAACTCGGATTCTCATGCARTACGTGAATCATGGAAGCGTCACCCCATCGCCCATGAATTTAATTCCRTTCAGATACCTACTGAGCTGTATATACAACAAGGTAGCTGTTTGCGGCCAATTTAGAAAACGTTGAATACTGAAAATAGTGCATTCAAAGACTGCAATGCATTACTGGTTTTTCTATCCCAATTCGCTTCCTGGAGAGTCATGAGAAAAAAGATAAAMGAGCCTCTTTGGGCACGTTATACGTTTTGAGAAAGTGTTAGAGAGACTTCACCAGGCGCGCTCCTGATCATGACCGATGTRTGGACAATACATTGTGGGAGCTACACGAAAATGATCGTTATGACTAATTCAAATTTTCTATTTTTAGTGTAAAAACTGTGTTGGGGTTAAACCTGTTTACACCCCACAGCTTCGCATGGTGAGTACATTATTAAATACGTTATACGTGACTTTTCTCTACGTTTTGGGGKTAAGACGGAATCGCGCGCCACTATCTATTACGTGAATGATCACTTTACGTCCCTTTATAGCTGCCCTTCCGTATCATCTTTCACTTAACGCATTGGCATTATACGAAAAAAAAAAGACTGAAACCATTTTATCATATAATTATCTATGAAATACCTATATTTCTCCATTACGTAAAATTGATATTTTCACTAGTGAAAATAACATGTTATTTTCACTAGTGAAAATAACACATTCGAGGTTTCTCTATATAGTGGAAGAAAGAAAAAAGGTATTTTAAAACATAATTTGCTTTCATATTTAATTATATGATAAACAGAATATTACATGGTCGCTTGGAGATACGAATTTTATCTTCTCGTGTTGAAAATCTCGTTCTCTACGCTCACTCGTGAGAGWTCTTTTCAACACTCGAAGATAAAAACCGTATCTCCGCGCGCCCATGTAATATCCTCTATATATGTTTCAAATATCTTGGATAATATGAAAATATTGGTTCTCTCTCTATCGTTTTATTCATTTTCAGAGAAATAAAGTGATGAGAGCGATTCTTCACAGGTATCTTGCACACCGCAAGAAACAGAAGCAAAAACCAGAACCATCTACACCTACAAATGGATCACAGTTTAGTGCGTTTTGAGCTCATCAAATCAAACAATACTCACACTGCTTTGTTAAACAACTGAAGAAAGATGCAAAAGTATTTTTGCTTTTACCAGAGAATGTAACCAATTTCAGTGCTTGTTTTATATATATGCTTTATATACAGCCGTTTGCAATAATTCTGACCCCCCTACACTAATATTCATATATATCAAAATAGTCTTAGAAATTATGGGATACCATTGCTGATATTTTTTTGAGAAAGTACTCATTCTGGGCAACTCAAAAAATATATCAGTCATGATATCCCATAATATTTAAGGTCAGTTTGATATATATGAAATATGGCAGAGGGGGTCAGAATTATTGCAAACAGCTGTATATGCAGTCATTTACCGCTCAAAAAGCTGATAAAAAAGCATATACCATTCATATAAGAATAATTCTGGTCAAACAAGAAAAATATACGGAAGCAATTAAAGTCAGTCAAAACTCAGCGACAGGATAAACAATAGTAGGTAACAAACTGAATAGTTTAAGTCAACTAGCTATTACTTGACCTGATATATATACCATTTCAGTGACTAGTTTTCTACTATAGATGTTKTTGTGTAAATCCTAAAGGTAGCTTTTTCTTAACATAGTATTTCTCCATCGCTAGTCGACTTTTCTTTTTCTTGAAGTCTTTTCTTTTGGGTTTAATCACAATAACTATGACATATGATGGAGTGTTTACACAATGCAATCTATTCAACGTCGGTTTTCCTTTATTATACTCCAGCTTGCTAAGTTGCGTTTCAAAAATAAACTTTGTAGGTTAGACTTTTTTAGAAACGCGGCGTGATAGCATTTTTCAATCAAAGATTCCCGAAATTGAATTAAATGTTTTCTGTGACATGTCATTTTTTTTAAATCGTGATATTATGCTATTAAAGTCACAACAATGATGTGTAGACTAGTTAATTTTTAGACATTCTTTAAGTAGACTGCTCTAGGTGTATTTGAGCAAACACTTGCACGAGAAAGGTTTCTTTGCTCAAATCAACTTGACACGTTTAATTCGGCAAAAACTCATCAAAACCATTGTAGGATGAAAACGCTTTCCGAAAAAGACGCAAMAGAAAGTATAAATAATTGGCGGAATAAAAGATCAACCAACAYCACACAGTTTATTGATAATTGAATAAGAGGATATGTTGGAATGATGATCATAATTATCACTTCTYAATCAATCTTTTTTTTTACCAAAAAAACCGTTAAATTAGGACAAACGCTTTACAATATGGAGGCATGTTCAAAGATTGATGCGCACTTTATAGACTAGTGTTTCAACTCCCACCGTGTTTATATCAGASGACAGAGACACAAGCGGCCGTTTTATATTTCTTTTATAAAATTTTTCGAGCGAAAAGAAAATTTTGCCGGTAAGCCGTGTCTTTGTCCTCTGATATAAACACGGTCGTCAGCCAATCAGAGCGCGCGTTATATATCAAAAATTTTATAAAAAGTTTTATTGAACCAACGTGTTATTCAGTTTAGTAAATAAACGAAAGTGTATTTGATAAAACAAAAGTAAAAACACAAGCTCCTTTAACACAGATTCAATGACTTTGTCTGAGCCAGATCGATTAGACGAAAAKTGATCTCTTCTCATCTGGCTACTTAAAGAAAACAGTTAACCAAACAAAACAACGCTCAATGTGTTCATGAAAAACCTGCTAACGACGTATAGACAGAATAGTATTAAATACAGTGACCATATGCAGTCTCAGACAAGTAGTATACAGACCCAGCCGGCGAAATGTATACAYTGATCATGGAGATGTCCAGACGGAGCCAGCTGGAGGATTGGTTTCGCCTAGTGACTGCCTAGGAGAATGTCATRACATGTCACGCGTCACACAGAGAAACATAATCATATTTACTAATTATTTAGTGGTTAATTGTCATAGTAKGTAAGAAAAAGCCCACGAAAACCTACATTTTCTTGCGTTGAAACAGATTCTAAACGTGGCTTTCACGCAAGCAGGCAAAGCCAGCGCCAGAAAAAACAGACATTTTGATATTTTACACKGTACCCTTGCTCTTTTGTGTTTCCTTTATCAATGAGTTGGGCGCAGTTTTCTCTATGGAATAAGACCTCTTACCTCGCTAAAGAAAACTAACTTTACATAAAACTGAATACTGAGAAAGCTGGCGCTTAAGTAGAGCGACTTTGGCCGGTGTATCTCTTCAATTGAGCTGTTAAGATATAGAGGATATTACATGGGCGCGCGAAGATACGTTTTGTCTTTGGGAGATCTCCAAGCGACCATGTAATATTCTGTTTATCATATAATTTAATAGTCTATATGAAAGCAAATTATGTCGTAAAATGCCTTTTTCGTATTTCCACTATATACAGAAACCTCGAATGTGTTATTTTYACKAGTGAAAATAATGTTATATACAAAGAGCAAAAGTTTAAAATTAACATGACGTAATTTCCTTCTTAGTCCTTCTGCCTTCATAATTTGTAATTTCGTGGYACAACAAAATTGTTATATAAACATAATGTTAGAATATTTAGGTTACAAAAGGTTCTTATTTCTGAAAAAATAAATCAGGAAATAAATGTATTCAAAAACAAATGTTTAAGAAGAATTTTTCGGGGTGACATCGSAAGAACACACCGCGAGCGCGGTTGAACTACTAGAAATATCAAATGGAACCTSAGTAAAGAGGTGAGGAAAGATCAGAGTAGCAATGAGRTAGCRGCATTAACKTGGSGCCTAGAAGGGAACTGAGACAAAGAGCCAGACCAAAAACAACCAGTTAAAGGAGGACAGTGGAAAGAGAAAGAAAAGGATGGGTTTCTTGGGAAGAAGTAACAGCGCTGGCAGCGTACCGATGAAGGTTGAGGAGTGCTACGGAGATCGGGMAAGCAGAGTCTGAAGAAAAATAATTTAACTGCCGATTTAACAYAATTAGTTAAAATCCTTTGAAGCTTGTTACATTTCCAGCGGATTGTTTGCGATAAGGTTCGTTGTGAAGTGCTGAATCCCTCAACTTGCAGAAAATTCKGGATTTTTTGGTTCCGTTTCAAAAACCCTCAMCTCGTTTCTTGGCTCACAAAATGACTGCTCTAAACATTTTATATAGAATCAATGTRATTTCGTCGCTTAGCGCCCGAKTGCATTTAATTCATATGAAAACGGCTTCTTTGCCTATTTAAAAAATGAAAATATTAATGCAGTGCTTGGAAAACTTCTTMAAGTATRAAATAAGCCAGTTACATACCTCGAACRTCTACGGCCTACGGCCCTCGGGATGTATAGGCTGATTGCCTCCGTTCTCGGTATGTAACTCTTACTTAATAGATAGTGATGAATAAAACATCAATATTAATCATACGCAAGAGGCAGTGAACATTAGCAGCTTTATTTCCCTATATTTACAATATATATATATAACGTACTCCAGTCAATATATCAATATTAATTTATATCAAGTTAAGCTTGCTTTACTACTATTAATATYAATCTAGGTTAGTCTTTTATTTTCATTATACTTTGCTAATATATTATACCATAAATAAGGTAGATTTTACTAACATACGAATTTAGTCCTGTGACGCAATAGCTCCTAGAATGCACTGCATCTTGGACATCACAAGAACGACAAAYMTGCACAGAATTTTGATTCTTCATTCAAGAGATTWCACAAATTGCTTTATTCATTTCTGAATACGTTTTCAAAAGAAATAGTACAATTCCACGGACTCATGAATGACCGAATATTGAAATAAGAAGAAACGAAAAAAARCATTTTCTTCAAAATAAATCTCGCCATCGAACATAGCGTTCTAAATATAACAAAACTGGTCAACCTTACAAATGGGAAAGRAAAATTAACCAAATGAAAACTGAAAATAMACTGCGAACTATAGAATATACCCCAAAGTAATAACTCAAAGCAAAGAAATATGAAAAGCTCCATTGATAGTTTATGAAGGGTATTTCTTTCTAAATTTGTACAACAAAAGCTAATGGTAATAAATATATCGCGAATTCGAGTACCACAAATCAATCGCGGATTACAGACCCCAAGTCGTGACAGCTTCTCTTAGCACCATAAAATCGAGCACTTTTAATCATAACACGTCTGGAAATTAGCCTGACTTCAAAATTGAGGGCCAAGATAACCAAAAAATTATGCTTCCTCCGTAATTCTCGTTAATTTTGTGTATCACATAAATAGGAGTTATCATCAATTTAACATATCTCCATAATATATTTATCATATATGTATATAAAGAAGGCCTTGTGTTTAACCTTTTCTTATAAATTCTCTAACGACTTTGTAGTCACACTGCTCGGACCACGTGCTCATGTGACGTCATCAACATTGTGACGTCATAACAATACCCAGTCTTCCCGCGTGAATTGATGTGACGTCACGAGAACTCGGTTTTCCCCGCGCGAATTGAAACTGCAAGAAATAGAAAGTTGTTGAAGATAAAGTTTTTATAAGAACGCATTAAGAATAGACTTTATACAAGTTGACAGAGCAATGCTTACCAAAACTAAACGAGTTTTCAGTTGAGTCATTAATAAGTAACTGTAGCAGAAGCCCTCTGGCTCGGACTGTAGAGCGGTGTACCGTATTTCTTCTGTCGAGCTCTCGAGTTTTGAAACCAAACTTGAGTTACTCGTTTACTTAGACCAGTAAGCTGTGCGATCCTCTCGAGGTCTTGGCCGTCGGGATTTGAATCGATATTAAAGTTTGCTTGTAGAATTTGGAGCTGTTCTTCTGTAAATGTTGTGCGTACGCGTTTAGCCTTGTGCCGGCCGGATCTGCTTGTACTTGATGGGGAATCCTCGCTGTCCAGATCAGGAGAGAAAACTGTACGAAAGAACCATCGTTTAAAATTGAATTTATTGTGATTGGGAAAATTTCAAGTTATCATTCGTGGAACGCAACTTGCTTGTTAAGGCGCAACAACAACAACAACAGCAACAACAACAACAGCAACAGCAACAGCAACAGCAACAGCAACAACGACAACAACAGCGACAACAACAACAACAGCAGCAACAGCAACAACAGCAACAACGACAACAACAACAGCAGCAACAACAGCGACAACAACAACAACAACAATAGCGACAACAAAAATACTGCCACAACGAAAGCAGCAATGACAACCACAACAGCAGCAGCAACAACAAAGACAACAACACATTGATCTTGAACCTCGACCCGACTTTATTAAGCACCTCTCATTTGAATAAAGAGATTTGATGTAAAACTGATGGATGCCCGTTTACTAGAGGGTGGTCGTTTAATAGAGGTCACTTAGAAAGCAGTAGTTATTTTGAAACTCATAAAAAATCTTATTGTAGTGAATATGTGCTAATTTAAACTACACCCAGAACTGAAATTTTACAATAAAAGTTTAAGATAAACCAGTTGTATGATCGCAATTTGTCTGATCACCAATTACCGAGATAAAATTATGAAAAATAAAGAGTTTTTCGAGGGAGGAACGAAGGACCACCGTCTGCAATGTACGTAAATGTTTTCACCTTTTACAATGTATAATTTAGCTTTTTATTATAGAAACATTTTTGAAATATTACGAGCCGASTTCTTATTGAATATTCAAGAAATTCGTGTCTGTAGCATTGTGGTAGCCTTGATATCATGGTGAAGGTGAAACAAGTGATGTGTTAATGAGTTTCTCGAATTCCGTTTTATGTATTAATGAAAGACTGTTTGAACCGAGGTGACGATACATGAATTACGCATAAGGCGAAGTAATCTGTTCTATTTCAAATTCTAACCTTTTAAAGCATCAAAAACGGTTTTTTAAAATGACTGGTTGTTTTAAGATAAAAAGAATTAAACTTGAAAACACGCATGTGTGTTTAAATGTGATGTTCTTTCCTGTTTTTCAGGGTTTTTTTAGTTTGAAGATCCTTATGTTCTGTTAAACTCAAACCTTTGAACCCATAAAGCGTCAAAAAAGGCATTATATAACCATTTGTCAATAATAAAAAAAACGATTTTGGCTTAGTTTTTTTCATATTAAACTTTAAAGCGTTAAAAAAGGTTTTCAATGACTTTTTATAAAGTAAAARAGTTTTGACTTAAAAAGTCGCGTATGACTAAAACAGTCTTTTTTCTTTCCTTTTTTCAATGGATGTCGATGAAGCGGTTCTTCTCGCCCAAAAAAAGACGATAATACGACCAAAGGCTATTCGTTTAAATATACACACAAAGACACCATTTTCTAATGATAACATAAAAAAATATAAACTACCTGTAGTCATTCTATAAAATGAAATGTAGCTGGCTTTTCTAGTTTTTTTGTGGCTTTCTTGGAGCACGCGTTTTCTAAGGGAATATTCCTATTTTCACACTTCTACCAAGCAGTCTTAGAAATTCTGGCTTTGGATTCATCTCAGATGGTTCTAGGAGCCTTAGTTTATCTTTTGTATACGAACACAAAAACCTTTAGAATTCAACTTTGTGTGGATCATTAATYGTCTACATTGGCTGAATTAATTTTTCCATTTTGAAGATATTTTATGATTATAAATAGACATGCATTTGAGAAGCATAAAAATCTTAGCCGTTAAAAAGAATAATAAAATTGTAATCACCATTTGGAAGTAACAATAAAAATTGACTATAGTTTATCAAAGTAAAAATGCTAAAAGTTTTTTTTTTGGAATTTTTGTTTCTTTTTTTTAAGCAACAGTTGCGCTTTCACTCCTAATTACAAATAATGATAATAAAAAAAAATGATTCAATTTTTGATTCAGCCCTTTCCTCCCAAGATCATAATGTAAAGAAAAATATTTCATAACATGAGAACTCGGACCTTTAGAAAACGTTTTTTTCAAAGAAAACAGCGAAGTATTTGTTCAAATAAGGTCTAAATGAGGTGATAAGAGTTGACACAATAGTTCTCAGTTAGCTCAGTATTGAGCAACCACACCTACGTAACCTCCGTACCATTTCACAGCTTATTTACAAAATAATACCACAGAAAATAGCGTAATTTTCCCTTACCTTCCTGATAATCGCGATCCGAAGGCGAGCTATCTAGTGTTTCAAGGTAATGCAGCTTGCAGAGAACGCTGTCATCTTTAAGAGCAAATTCCTCGCCAGTTGAGAGTTGTCTTTTGCAGTTGTCGCACGCGAAACACGCCAGATGGTAKACGCAGTTTCTYGCCCKTCGAACCCAGTCGTTYGCATGTATGCTCCGGCCGCATCGTGCGCATTTTGTCCCAAATTGTCTGAAATATGATAAATAAAAGCTTGATTCCTCAGTACAAAATGCAAATAAAAAATAATAAAAGAAAAACGGAAAAAAAGTAAAGAACAAAAATAAGAGATATGGTTCTTTTATTATTAAAATGCTGACATAAAAAGGCTTCAATTTGACAAAAGACCTATGAAACAAATTCAATAATACGCAAGATTTTCAACGGAAAAAAAATATTTTAAAAACCGAAAAAGGAAATAGGATAAAGATCTTTTATAGATGAAATACTGAAATTCGACAAAAAGTCCGACGAAAAGATTTTCGAWAGAAAGAGAAGAGAAGTATAAAATCTTAGCAATGAAATAAAYGMTGTTGCAAACAGATTCTCTTTTTATTTTTCGTTTCAAACTTTTTGAGATTCACGATTTCATGTTTGCGGTATSCCCAGTACAGGTGATCAAAATAATCATCTAAAAGTAGCTCAAACGCTATTTGTAAAACAACCTTTCGTCAAAACAATATAAATTATCAGAAGGATGGTTTAGGAAAGGAAAGCGTTCCAAATGTTAAGCTTAATGTCAATAAAACTACCCTATACATCGAGATTTTAAGCGAAAAAAAGAAACTAAACGGGAAAATAAGATTGTTTAAACTATTACTCACTAATGTCAATTGTCTGAAACGCCAWARGAGTCATTTAACATCAATAAAAAAAAMMCCAAAGCTATATAGGAAAACCACAACAATTCGACCGCAAAGACAAAATATACTACTTTGACGCGAAGGTTAACWTTAAAAACGTCTCTGACAGAACTGGACGAGTTACTTTAAATCTTAGGGGCTTTAAAATAGCATCGATCCTAACGACCAGCAAATCTTAACACCATCRAAGCATGTATTAGAATCATTACTAGACAACAGACGAAAATGAAAGAAGGCTTTTYGAAGGTTGAAAGTTGCCTAGGTAGTGCCSTACTTTAATTGGAACTTTCAATTTCAATTTACCAGGAAATCATAACGACATGGAAGTACTTTTGTTTATTACAAAAAGCATTATTTAAATAGGTAGTTTTAAACTTTTAGTCTTTTTTCTTACCAAATGATTTCACCTGCCCTGTCAAGGAATAGTCGCGCTTTCACACCTCTAAGCTTGGAACATTAAAATATGCCTTGTTTATCGTTATTTATAAAATTTTCTTTAAAACTGCTACCTCATATAACTAAGCACGCTTACTATATTTTGTCTTTTTTATTTGGGATGTTTAGTTACTGTATCGAGAGGAAATGAGGCGGATTTACTGCATCTGAAGGATTTACATAAATACAAATGCACATTAAAAAGAATTTTGAGATAAAGTACCTTTGTGAAAATAACAAAGAAATTGAAATTTTGAGGTAACATGTAAAGACGTTTTATATTGACTTTTTGCGGGATATTTACATAAACAGTTAGATATCAGTCTTGGCGCGAATTTTAGTATTCGGCGTATGAGGACATGATGAACGAAACTATTCCAAAAAAATATGCTCATCCACTATGACGAACCTGGATAAAATATAAACTACCAAGATAAAATATATAACCTAAAAAGATTTTTAAACATATGGAACTTGTGAAAATTTTAGTTATATCGAAGATAGAGACATTTCTTTCGCCGAATGCGAGAAGTTAAAGAAGGTTGAGCATTATTGTACAAAACAGCAAAAAACAGGGAACAAAATAACACAAATATAACCACACTTATTAATAAGAACTTATTGTCGAGAAAGAAAGAGTTCAAGTACTACAAATTGACACTCGTAACAGTATTTACGCATGAAATTGTTTCAAGTACAAGATCGATTAAGATTATTATGTTGGTACGATAATTTGCGGTTGGCCGCAATGAAATTACTGGTCACTCAAATATATCTCTAAGCGTTGAACCAAAATGTTAAACGCCTCAAGTGGTTTTTCAACCTACCTGGCGTAGTCGGTCTTGCAATAAATCTTATTGTCCTTGGTGTAGCATGTTGCTTCTTTGCCTAACTCGTCTCCACAAACGCAACAGCGTAAACACTTCGTGTGCCATGCTCTGCCGCTCACTTTGACCAAATAGCGGTCGATAATACGCGCTTCGCATCCCACACATCTCTCGCCCTGGGTCTAAATGACGCASAACAATAATTTTTCAGAACGATTAATGTATGACGTTTAACACAGCTGAGTTTTGTACGATAGAATCACAAGACCACCCGAGGGTTTTATTTACTTAGTTCAATTGGATAAGATTGTTAGTAAACAGAGAGATGAGTTAGAACATAAAATTACATGACAGAACAGTAAACACTTTCTAAAACGCCACAAACACAAATTTAACTGACTGTTAACTAAAAATTAGGTGTCATGGTGTGATATATTTCACACAAACAAGTTAAAAAGACGCTCTACTCACCGAAACGTGGTCGACGGAGTTAAGTGAAGGACTTGAAAGAGCCTTGTCTTCGTGAGGAGTTGTCATCTGAAGCAGTTAGGGAAAAAACACTCAGTTAGAAATTCTAAATCCCCTGGAAGGCTGTTATCAAGGCGAGACAAGCACCCTCTGAAGTACCTTTACGTCAAATATTGACGATAGTTTGAAGTCTATGTTAGCTACACASGGGAGAGCAATTTAATTAAAACAAGTCAGCTCTCATTGGATAAGCGCTAAGCTAAGGCGGAGCGTTGCCCTTTGGGACACAGATCACACGCGCATAGAACTTGTTTCCATTGTTTTGTAAAATCCTCGATCTTAGGAAAAAATGTTTTGTCACACAAAAGAATACAGCCTGAAGTAACTTTTTATGTGAAGAATAAGGAGGAAAAAAATTCCAAAGGTTTTTATGTTGTTGACTTGTAATTGCTTGAGCAAACATGAATGTTGCTGTTTTTAAAGTAAAGTTACATGTAAAGCAATTTCCAAATATTTGCTTATTAAGTTATTTACAATTTTATGGGTAAAATTCAAGTTGGTTAAAGTAAGTTTYAATATATAAACGTATTATAGAAATAAGAAGTCAGTACTATCTAAAGCACTTCAAAAGGCTGAGAGCTCGTAAGTTATTGTTAAGTATAGATAAGAAGATGTTTGGATTATCTTGAGATTATCAATGAGAGCACCCAATAAAGAACATAAAACAAAACAAAAAATATATCATTAAAGAAGTAAATTATCTATATTTTGGATACAAGCGAATGTTAAGCTATAAAAAACTGCACAATTTTAGTTATTTTAGAATTTACTGACTAGATTTCGTYGCGCAACAAGGTCAAAAACAACCATCACTGGGAAGAATTGTTSGCTAACAGCAGGTCCTACTGAGGGCCTTTTGATGGTGTTTGTAATTACGACAATGTAATAACAGTCAAATAACTTCTACAGGTATTTTACACAGTTAAAATMATATCACTGATTCGTTCAAACGACAATTTCTACAAACKTTTWAGTTTGTTTTGGAAGGTACAAGTTAGTTTGAAGAGAAATTAATAGAAACGTTCCTAACACAAATATGCAAATTGTATTGTGAATTGTTYGCAATAAGAAGAACAGGAACTACTCTCTCAATTGCATTGTTTCTTGTTTGGTTACGTCCAACGACGTCACACCAAATGCTCAACTTATCTTAARATTATAGTGAATTCAAAACGTAAAGTCGAAAAGAAATAAATAAATAATGAGGATAGACAAGTTTGTAGATGAAAATTTGCAAAAACACAACCGCGAATTGATACCAAAAGTCCGGCTAACTTGTGATGTAATTCTTACTGGAAAAATCCCCACAAAGTCTTTCCTCAACGTGGCCTTTAATTTATTAGTATTCATGTATTCTTTGATTTGCTATGAAGTAATTAAGCTTCTGTAGTTCTATAGGRCTGTAAATTGAATTTGTCTTAATTTGACTGCTCAGGACGTAGGATAAGGTTTCTTCGGGAAGGAAAACACAACAAAATTGTCAAAAAAAACTCGTTAGTACAAAACAATATGGCGGAAACATAGATTTAATTATCTTGAGATGAGAAGCACGGGTGAGCAAGGCGAGTTGCTGGGCTGTAACTAGTGCAGGTGTGACTTTTCATTTTTAATACTGTACACTAATATATGCAAGCTTTAATCTGTCAATAAACAGAACTAGTCGTAATTTGAAGTCGTTTTAACAATCGTTCGTGTCTTAAACACACACAAATCCACACACAAATATTGTCTAGGACTTAAAAATATACACGAAAAGTCGAAAAAGAAAGAAAAACATATTGAAAAAGTGTATGRMAGTGCATAACGTAAAAGTGTTTTTCATTTTTACAGCCAAAGCGACACTCACTAAAGTTACCACTAGTAATTTTAAAGTTACTACCGTCAAAACTAAATAATCAAATAACTTCATAATAACCAAAAAAGTATATTAATCATTAGAATTAAGTTTCACTCTCTAGCACCGAGTTTTTAAAAAATCCAAAATTTGTTCAGTTTTAAAAACAAAAATCACTCTAGTAATGTGATAATCATTACATAATTGTGAAAATATTACTCAAAATGACTTTAAATTCGCCGTAAAAGATTAATAGACAATCCTCTCTCATCTTTGGATCATTGCAAGACATTGCAAGAAACATCCCACTACAACGCTAACCAGGATAAATTAAAAATAATATCTTATATTATAAAATTAGTCAAAAAAAACCCCTCACTTTTGCAATTACCATCAAATTTGTCACAGAGATACTCCAAATATTCACAATTATTGAATTACAAGTAAATAAAATTTCCATATTTACTTATTAGAAGGAGTTACCTTAATGACTACTGTACAGCAATGGAACTGATATTTAAGATTTACACAAACGTTAATGTGTCAACACCAAAAGCGCTTGAGACGGAATGAGCAGAGTAAGGCTCAGGCCAGAAGTTATCCTAGTGTACTGACAAAAATAACAAAAACGACGAAATACAAAAATACCCCGCCAAGCGCTTTTTACACCTGCATTCTGCCTAAAACAGACGGTCGCTAGACCCGACCTTAGCACGTCGGCAAACCCCCAATAGACTCAAAGTGGAATTTCAATAGACTKAAAAGTGACCACTAAAACGTTCGAAACGACGCGTTAAAATACTTCTAAGACTTCTTGCTTTTAAGCAAGRGTAATAGTTTAGCCATTAGTGAACAAAGCAACAGACAGTATAGAGTTCTGAAAATGTGATACGATTTTCAATAGACGAAAAGATTATATCAAAAAATACTTCTTGTGACTCTTCAAAGAATATTTAGCTCACAAAAGAAGATCAGGTTTTAAGAAATAGAATCTTGTGTATGCTTAAGTTAGCGACAAATGAAGTTTAAACGTACGCAAAGAAAGGGTGTAATTACATGAGATGTCTTTGAGCTCCAAGAAATTAATTCATGACGATTTAACTTACAAGAACTTGATAATTTAAACACGGAATACTTCTTTAATTTCGTTTTCGGCATTTGMTGACTGAAAAGCCAGCTTCATTWAAGGAAAAAASATAAAAAGCCTGGGCTATTCATACGTACATTCTAATCCACTACAGATAAACAAGGTTTTACGGTGCAATCAGACATAAAGACGACTTTAAAAGGCAACATGTGCAAAAGACTTACTTTAAAAATTAGTTATGAATAAATATGTATTCATCAAAAAATGCTGGTCATAATTTTATATGAAACTAAAAAAACTCTCAAAGGATATTTCACCTCCGAAAACGCCACAATTGAACAATCGCGSCGACAAACTACGAGCGAGGTTGCCGTCAGTCTTTGTCGCTGTGGAAAAGTGCAATCTTCAGGATTTTTCCATGCAAAAGTAAAAACTCAATAATTTTGCGAATGATGTGAAACGGTTTAATGCCTAAGTACAAATACAAAAAAAATATCCTTCAGTAATAAAATAGCTTATAATACAACAAAAATGTTCGKCTAAAATGAAATTAAATGGGGAAAAAATGTTAGAGAAATTTACAATTGTTAACTAAAAAAAAATTATTGTTGGAAAGGGTCGATGTCTTTCGATGTAGAATCTTCATATCCGACGTCGACAAAATTAGRCAAGATTTACAGTATTACTTTTATTGCACGTATTTCAGTCGGAAGACTGCTAGGTGTTAATATTTTTAATAAACGTTCTTTCTTTCCACTTTCTATCTAACTATTTATCTTAATAYCTATCTCGATGTCCCAGCATTATTCATATTACCTATATCAACATAGATTTATGTATATATACAAAAAAGAATGCAGAAAAAGACTCTATGCGACTCATTCATTTAAAAAAATCGTATATATTTTCCTCCATTCGATAATTCTTTGTCTACCAAATGTTCTTCAAGTATCATTCCGCGATTAGTACATTTTATACCCGAGCGACAAATAAATCATCAACACGCGTATAAAGATTATACAACCATCCCGCGAACCGACCGCACCCTTTAATTTCGGTTTTATTTGCAGTATAATTATCTCGCGATAAAAGTCGTTTGTCGAACGCAGAGTTCAGATTTGTCGCGTAAGTGACATTCGATTATCGTCACTATCAGTATTTGAAAAAGTAGCAATTGTCGCGCGCCGAGTGCAATGTAAAAATCAAAATTGTAAATCTTGAAGATTTTTATTAAGCCGATGTATAATCTACACGATGTCGTGAAAGTCCTTTATGTCACAAAAGCGACTTTTAAAAAAATCTGTAAAACGATTCACACATGCTCCTTTACAACGCGGTACTAACAGTAAGGCTTTTTTCTAAATTTCGAGTTGCATGTTCGCCCACTAAAATTTTTCATATTTTCTTTTTGTTTGACTTCATCCTTTATTCGCCTCTTAGTAGAATATAAATGCACATTCTCACTAACTTTAAACACATCCTAATCCAAGGWAAATTGAATTACTTTGAATCTTGCACAACTGAGAATTAGTGCAATCTGACGRCACGAAACTGAAATGAAATGAAAATTAGAAAGAAACAGTKATCAYTGAGAGAATGCAATTACATKTYTGGAAACAGATATTGTTTAAAAATGTTCTTTGCAATCACGGTTTTCAGTCGTTTCAGTATACACCGGTAATTAGACAGCACAATATGAAATTCAAGTCAAAGAGCTGAGACAAGAGATTATGTTTTCGTGGCTTCATTATAGCTTAATCTTTAAACTACGAGTTTTCTGATAACGCGAATAAATGTTATTTATCTATAAGGGCTCTAAGTGGTTCCATGGTCAGTGTCCGAAAAAAAGTTATCTGCTATCGATTTTTCATTATAATCGTTGAAACGTTTTAGTCGTTTTAAGTATTTTTAAATAATTTTCGGAATGGAAAGTTTCTTTACTAAATCCGGGCCATAAACGAAGATGAACTCTGGGCATAAAGGAAACACAAGCTGCAGCGCTTAGCAAAAGATTTGACCTTCAAAAAAATAAGGTATTACTTTACTTGGAGCATCGAAATTCCTGTCCACCAGACCATTCTGCGAACTTCATAGTAGAATAATGAGCRCTTTATTAATGTAATTTGTAAACATCAATGAGTTTAGACTGAGATATTTTTATACTTGTTTGTAACTTACACTCGACAATGGGTGAAAATCCATCACTACCACAAAAAAAAGCCGAATATACTGGATCTATTAAATTTGTTGAAAATTTGAAAAGATCATTAGAAGTGTTTAGGAAAGTCACCAAATTTTACTGAAGACAAATGTAAGGATGTAACTATCACACACGCATCTATATTTGTTGTATAATTTTATAAGTTTATTGAGATATAACTTTTCAAATTTTTCAATGAAAGAATTACATCAAGCTTTTACTCTGTGTAGTTTCTCAGATTTTTATTAGGACTAAAAGTCGGTCGAAAAATATTAGTCAAAAGACTGAAGACAATTACATCGTACATGTATGTGTGCACCTTGAGTGTTCGTTGGTTCTTAATGGACCCGATTAACGACGACAAAATGTCTGATTCTTGACAGAAAAGTTACATCTTTGGAAAATCAACATGACAGTATACATAATAAAACATATGTATAGCGGCCTATTTKTGAATTTGTTAACCTTTCTTTGAAAAAAGAAGTTATTTGATTGAGTGGTCCCTCTTCAGTGAAACCTGCATGGAAATCCACCGGCACCGAGTTGAGTTTYTTAGTCTTTAAAAACCTGTGCATTTTATTTACATTTACTGGTATTTTTTTTTATATATTTTGATAAAAAGACTAACCAAATATATTAAACCAGGATTAGATACTTTAAGTCTTGCTGTAATTATARATTATCGTGATTTTAATAATAATTTCATTTTGACCATATTAGGATCACAACACTTCCAACGAAAACATTCCCGAGTTTTTTTCCTTAATACTGCTAGATTTGTAAATTTAAACTGAGCCACAATTCCAGTTTTATTCAAAATGCGTTGAAAGCGGATTTTTTTTCAGAAGATTCACAAGGTACGATTGTCGCGTACGACTTGTAGTATACGATTTTCCTACTACAAGTCGTAGGATTTTAACCAGTGGTTCAAAACCCTACTACAAGTCGTAGGTTGCGTACGACTGTTGTAGACAAGTCGTAGGGGCATTTACACTGCGCGATTCAAGTCGTATACTACAAATCGCACGAGACAATCGTGCCGTGTAAATCAGCCTTTAGAACCCGAACTATGGACGTCAYTACCTAATCCTAAACTACCCCATATCTTTTTTTGCTGAATTCAAGCGTCTGTTTAAATGTCTTTCAGGAGGTTCAAGCCTTCAATAAGTATCACATTCAGAACASATATCATATTTTAGAGCGTTAAACAGAACTTGTCATGTATTCTAAGATAGCATATCCAACAAAGACTTAAAACTTCGATAAGCCTTGATAACCAGTGACCAGGTATCAACTCTGTCTAGAGTCTTCTAATCCGTGATAAACTACTTTGTGTGTTGCTGATATTACGTGTTCCTCAATTATTCTGGGCTCCCTGTGTTTGACCACAGGAAACCCATTACGAAAGATTCTTTAATCTTCGGTCAAAAATTGCTTTTGGTGAATTTTTGGGGCATCAATTGATGTATCTGTAATTGTTTGTAATTGTATTTTTAACCTTGGAGATAGCACAGATTTTAGCCAAAATCCTTCAGCCAGTTCCRCWAGGCAAGTAYTATACTATTTTTGTAGGTCAAAATCGTGTCATTGAAATCGGGAACACTGATGTGTCATCTAAAAATATTTCTCTCAGCTCAGTAGAGCTTAATACTGGATGAAAGGTGTGTCTGATTACGATAACTTGAGTTCTTAGTATTGAAGATACATTATCTGGGCAAGGGAATGAAGATTGTATCTGAACACTAATCAGAAACAAAACTACAAAAGAAAAAAAAAAGAAAAAAAACAAAGAAAACTGAAAGAGAGCAAGAAAGAAAAATAAAAAAATTTGAAGTTAACCTATTTCTATTAATAATATATCATAGAGTACAAACACTAAAACTGTGCAACATAAATACCACTACATGTAAATACTGCTAAATTATGCTAATTCATTGTTTTCTATTGTTTATTTAACACTATTTTGTAGTAAATAATGGAAAGTCTTGCACACATTTAATGTTTGTACTCTAATTATATTGTTATAATATTAGATTTTTGCAGATTCGTTAAGGTTAGTGAGACTAATACAATCTGAATCTATTGAATTGTTTTGTTCATCACCAACAAATAATAAAAACTCTTTTTCTTTACACGGTTAAATGACTAACCAAAAGCTAAAGTAAACTAAGCAATATCTATTAAGTGATAAGAGAATAGCTATACATTAAAGATATTAATTAAACATTTATTTAATAGTATGTTGTTTACAGTTTTTAAACAGAATTGTTTTGCATTGTTAAAACATGCAAACATACTCATATACTACTAACAACAACAGATAAATATAAAATATAATTAGTATCAAGTTTTTGGCTGGGTAATTGATGACATGGAATTTGATTCTAATAAGATGGAATTGCTCCAAAACCAAATAAAGGTTATCTAAAAAAGGTTAAAAACATGTTTTAATATATTTTCAAGAATTCAATTATTATTACAGTAGTATTTTAATAAATAAATAATAATAATTTACTTTAATAAATGTTTCAACATTACTGGTACAACCTCTAAAAGTAATATAGATTATCCTCACCATCATCATCTGATAATCATTATTAGTTTCTATTATCATTATCATTATCATCACCATCATTATTATCATTATTGTTATTATTATCATTAATATTATTGTCATTATCATTAACAGTGCTTCAAGGTGCCTTATACAAAATAAGGTTCAAAATACATGAAGGTGWATATGCTATGTTTTTTAATCAAATTTATTTTTACAAAATGTTAACAATACAAACAATAACAATTTTTTGTATATTTACACTAAAGTGAAATAAAGAGTAGGAATAATAGTTGCAAGTTGCGTGCCTTTTTCTTCAATTTATTCAATTTTTACACTAAAGTGAATAGATATAATGACATGTAATATAATGTTTCTCAAGTTATAATTAAAAAAATATACAATATCATTAGTAAATCTTATATATATAAAGTTTATTATGCTGCAGCATTGTTATCAGTGGGTAACCAAAACATTATTCATTATTAATGAATGAATTTTCATGTTTTTTACTCATAATTATGCTCTCAGATACTAAGTTTCATGTTCCTGTTACAATGTTTTTTTATTTTTTTATAGGTTGGCATTTCCTGACTTGGTTCTGTCAAAAACCTCTTGACAAGAACTTTCTTTTTACCTTTTCTAACTTATCATCTGGGCTTGTGTCACTATTTGAAAAACTCTTAAATGTTTTTTACTTATAGGAATTTAGCACAATTGTTTTAAATGTACACATTGAAATCTTTTTTATAATCTGGACATACAAACATTTCTCATGCTCTCAGCTGTTAAAACGTATTAAATAAATAAACCAACTTTATCAAATAACATGAAAAACTATCAAATATTATAATAATTGTGAACGTTTTTAATTGAGCTGGTGTAAGGTTTTATTTTTCTGTTGCTATGAAGRAACTCACATTTCTAAGAATCGATGACTTTAAAAAAATTGGTCAAATAAACCACAGGCAAAAGAATTGAAGGCYAKMCTCCAGGTTTACAATAGACAATTCTTTTGTTTCCCAAGASCATCCTTTTCAATTCATTTGTGCATGACTATTCAKCAGAAATACTGAAAGTTGACTATCAACAAGAATTTGAATTTTAGTCTAAAAAATATGCAACAACAMTGTTAAAAGTCAGCAATGTGACATCGTTTTGAATTTGAGATGTWGTTTCTATTTCACAATTGTCAGTCTGAATCAGACCAGTGAATTGGAAAAGTTCTTTTGTAAGAATCGTACATTTTGATTAAATTAAAGTGATACAAAAAGGAAAACATAAGCTGAGTTCTTAAGGAAAAAAAATAATAGAGTGTTAAATTTTTTAAATTACGAACATTTTTATAAGGAAAGCTATATAAAAATATAAGGTATAAAAATATAAAGTTTTGTTGTCTAAATAGCTCTTCAAGTATGTATTTTATCGAGCAAACCTTTCAGTTAATTTAAAGAACATTACAAAAAGAGAACACTAAGAACAACATGAACAGGTTTTAGAAGGTCTGGCAACAATGTAAACTTGGCAAAGTACAGTTTTAAACGAACAACATTTTACTTCAAATAACATTATTTGACTCTCCAAAAGACCAAACGGTTAAACTCTTAGCAATGCACTTAAACCAAATCATGCCAGAGTAGGCTCAGCTTGGCCTTTTGTAGTTCAATTCAGTTGTAAATCGTATTGTAGACAACACCGTCACACAGTCAAGATAA